TTATGGAATCGTTTACCAAAACTAGGATGATCTTGCCAGAAGTGATCATTCAGGCACGCTAGATGTTGCAGGGTGTGAAACGGAAAACCTCATTTAGATTATCTCCATGAACATGTCTGAGGCATATGAATAGATTTTTGATAGGGTTACCAGACAGACCTTGACTGATGACAGAAAAATATCAATCAGTTTGTGGTAATCGATTCAACGAAGACCTCATTATTGAGCTACATAAAATTGAAACTTGTTGAGCTGGAAACGCCTAGATTGGGCAGCTCCTGATCGGAGTCGGACTGCCCACATAGGCAAGTCAAAAATTAGGTCATTATTCGATGAAAATCTACTTTACTGTAAATAACCACCTGTCTGACCTTCTGCTTCTTCTTTCTTTCACCTGAAATAGATTATCTATATCTGCAATATTCTCTCTAGTATGAACTTCACTGTCTTTTGTAATTCACTCAGCGACCCGTAAAGTTTGACTTGCACCGATGTTTCTCTTGATCAAAAGTTTTGTCTTGATATGTTGTTTTTGGGACAGTCTTGGAGGACATGATCTGTTGTTTCAGGTGCCAATCCACTTGTGCACATGGTTGATTCTCCGATTTTCTTCTTCGTCTTCGCCTTCTCCAGCTGGACACTCTGGCGGAAAGTTCTGGTTGCTCATCCACTAGTGAACTGCAGTCCTGCTCCAGAACCTGAGTTTTGCGTATGCATCAGTTTTACAGATCTCATTCTCTTGAATACAGACTGTTGGTTCCTTGCCTCGCCGGCAGATGCACTCCGACTTCAAAGGAAGCTCCCCAATTAGTCGACTCTTACGACATGCTTTTGGGGAGGCACTGAGTCTATTCTTGTTTTCCCCATGATGGGGCCCGGAACCCACACGGGGGTCTCCGATTTTAAATTGTATGTACATGTGGCTGCGAAGTGGATTGCGTCCTTTTCTAAGGCGTAGAATCATAACTTGCTTTGGTCTATCCAAACGATACTCGTCTTGTGCCGGTTTTGGTGGCTGTTTGATAGATTTGATTATTCTCCGATTTTGTCGATAAGAGACTGGTACATGAGGTTGTTCATTATTTGCACCCTCATTATCCAGTTTATCAACTCTTTTATTTTCAGGAATTCCACAGTGGGATGGTATCCTTACACCGACTGCTTAGTTTAGAGAGTAGTGTTCGTATACCATGTAGTTTTCCAGATTGGAGTGCCTGAAGCATCGCTCTTGCATCTGTCAGAAATACCACAGGTTTAAAAAAATGAGGCATATTTAACAGTTTCTCTGCTGCTTTTATGACGGCTTGAACTTTTGCATCATAGTTGTGACAGTGCTTTCCTGTAGGTATTTTGGCTGTTGTCAGAGGCCAGTTCGGCTATGGGACGGACAAAGCTGATGATAGTGAATCATCACGTATGAACGAGTTGACCTTCAGTAAAACTCAGTATGAGAGCGGACAGCTTGACCACGGAATAAACTGGGTCCAGTTAATGGGCCAATCCCAGTTCACACAGGTGACACTGATTACTGCGTGTCGAGCCGTGAACTCAGGCCCCGAAACAAAAAGCTTTGTCCGGGCTGTTTGAAAGGAGTTGTGTACTGGGACTGGACGAGACTAGACGTAGTACTCGACTAGGTAAAAATTACATTAGGTTAGTGACGGTTAGAATAGAATCTTTGTGTTTAGTAACTTTGCTAGGTTGTGTTTCCATTTAATGTTTCGACTAGATAGTGTAGAGTTAATGTTCTTTGTATAGTAGACATTCCATGCAGTATTTGTTTGAGCAGTTATTGAAGGTGTGACACGCATTGTAATGGCGGTAACACTGCCCGGTCACGCTTAGACCGTTCACCTTACGTGTGCCGCTGAGTTCCGTGTGGCAATAGACGGCGGCTTAGTTAGCACTGATAAACTGTCAGCTAGGATTCGTGTTCCTTGTAGATCAATGAGGACCGGCTTGGGTTGACCAGTGATTGTAAAGCTGTTCATCGCCAGGGGTTTCGGATAGGAACTGCCTACTCAGTTGAAGTGTCTAAAGTCTGTTTGTTCATTGTGCATTAAAGATTATGTTTGTACTCAGCAGGAGTGTGTCTTAAGTGTGTCTAGGGTAGTGAAGTCTGTTAGCTGGCCTATCTAGCGAGCCATATAAAATGAACAGTGTGAAGTAGGTCCCTGACAGCTGTATATCTGGTATTATTTGAATGCTCAATAAACACTCTTGCTCCTCCATTTCTACTGGCGTTTTGTGCTGACCCATCCCTATAGACACGAACCCAAAGATTATGTGGGTGTGTATTCGTCTTCAAGTCGAGCGAGGGTGGCTGTTTTACGTTTCACACTGTTTTGTACTGATCTAACCAGTACAAGGTTAAACGTACAGATAATATGTGCCACAATGTGAGATTAGTTCTCTGGATACTGACAACATGCTACAGAAGTTTACCGCTGGTTAGCTGTATAATGACAACATGCTACAGAAGTTTACCAATGGTTTGCTGTATAATGACAACATGCTACAGAAGTTTACCGCTGGTTAGCTGTATAATGACAACATGCTACAGAAGTTTACCGCTGGTTAGCTGTATAATGACAACATGCTACAGAAGTTTACCGCTGGTTAGCTGTATAATGACAACATGCTACAGAAGTTTACCGCTGGTTAGCTGTATAATGACAACATGCTACAGAAGTTTACCGCTAGTTAGCTGTATAATGACAACATGCTACAGAAGTTTACCGCTGGTTAGCTGTATAATGACAACATGCTACAGAAGTTTACCGCTGGTTAGCTGTATAATGACAACATGCTACAGAAGTTTACCAATGGTTTGCTGTATAATGACATGTTATAGAAGTTTACCAATGGTTTGCTGTATAATGACAACATGCTATAGAAGTTTACCAATGGTTTGCTGTATGCGGCATCCTGCTATAGTAGTCTCCTCAGATATGTTACTGATACACATTAGTACATCATCATCATTATCATCATTATCGTCATCATCATCATCATCATCATCATCACCACCATCATCATCATTATCATTCCCATATATCATGACGGTATGATTACCGCAACAACAAAAATCAGGTCAGTTTTCTCGTCTCTCCCCATCCATTTGACTAAACTATCCAGGCATTTATCTCTTTACCTTCATCTTGCTAATTTTACGCCCCTCATACCATTTGTCGCCAAGCTCTCCAGTCTATTGCTTCTCATAAGATGTCAGAAGAATGATCAGTTTACTACTGTGGTCTGCTTCCTGTCATGTCTATCAATAGTGTATCAGGGGTTTATCATAAGTGTATCAGTGGTGTATCATTAGTGTATCTGTGGTGTATCATTAGTGAATCAGTGGTGTATCATTAGTGAATCAGTGGTGTGTCATTAGTGTATCAGTGATGTATCATTAGTGTATCGGTGATGTATCATTAATGTATCAGTGGTTTATCATTAATGATTCCGTGGTGTATCCGTGGTGTATCATTAGTGTATCCTTGGTGTATCATTAGTGTATCCGTGGTGCGGATCCAAAGGTCGTGGGTTTGAATAAGCACTGAGCCAGACTTTTAATTTTCTTTAAAAAAATTGCCTTGGCTCTCGGGTCAATCCAGCCTTAAGTGGGTACCTAGTACAAGTCATGGGGAGTAAAGGCGACCGGCGTGATGTTGCCTTCATCAGCCACCGACTGCAGATTGCTCTATCAAATTTAGGTCCAGCCCCTGGGGTCTATTACCACTGAAGGTGTGGAACAGGGTTCCTTTTTGGTGTCGGCATTCAGGATAGACCGAATCCTCTCTGTCTCAGTCGGCCAGGCTCTTGGAAAGGATAACATTGGTGGTTGGAGAAGCGCTTGATAGGAAATTACCATGTACTGTCTTGAATTATGAATGCCTGTCGTGTAAGTGATTAAAGAGTTAGTTTGAGACAGTCATCAAACTTGCCCCTTCAGATAGGGAAGCATTAGCAGCAACAGCAGCAGAATAGTGGCATTATAAACAAAAATCCACTGCACAGTTAGATCAGCAGCAGTTGTAGCTGCCAAAACAGGCACAGTCACGGCTGTCTAAGTAGGAAAAGAAGCTCCATAATAATAATAATAATAATAATAATAATAATAATAATAATAATAATAATAATAATAATAATAATAATAATAATAATAATAATATGTATAAAAGAAAGAATATGAGGATGATGACGGCTACAAAGCGGGATGATTAACGAAGAGAAGAAAACATAACAGTGACGTGTTCAGTTTAAAAGAATAAAATGGAAGAACAGACTGAAGAAAAAAAAAATAAACAATGAAGAAAGCGATGAAAATGAACACCAGACTCCGCGGGTGTTGTGTTCAACTCCCCACTAGCCGTCTTTTCTTCTCAAGCTCTGCTACCCAGTTCAGACTGGGTTTATGTGGAAGCCAAAATCAACTATGAAAAGCACAAAACAACCTGTCTCGATTGAGATTTAGACTCAAAGACACACGGACTGGCAAGCAAACGTCTATTAGCTGGGCTATGGTGGTTTCTATCAGTGTGGACACACTTCAGCTTAACTGATGCACGGTTACATGAGCAGGCAGATAGATTGGCTGGAGTGGCCCCATTTGGCGGTGTACAGGCAGGTGATCTCTCACCTGCAGCACACAGTAACAAGTAAATAACGGAACACCATGTACTTGGAGATAATGATGCAGCAAGGAATGTCTGCGGTCTTTGGTCGCCACTCGAGACTCGGGTGGTTGGCGGAGGCAAGACGAGTAGTTAAACAAATAACACAAAGTACCACTAATACGAAGTCTCTTTGCTGGCTTTGATATGGACTTGTTTTGAATGCTGTGATGTATCTTTGTCCACATGAACCAGGTGTATGGTTAAGGGTTTGTGAAAGATCAGTTAGAATACGGAAATCCGGAAGTGATTTAATGGCGTTACACATGCTGAGAGTAAAAGAAGGTGGGAAAATCAAGTACAGCAAGGAGATTTAATACTCACACATGGCCTCCCCTAGATACCACTTCTCCTTGCCGTAAAACTCATGCAGAGCTGTCGGAAGCCCCACCAACAGAACCATCAGATCTGCAACACTCAGGCTCACCAGAAAGTAGTTCATCCGCTTCCTCATCGACCGGACTGTGGCAACAACCTGAGAAAGAACCCAATGAAGTAGTGTCATTACTTCACGTTACCTAACTTGTAAGATTCTTGGTGTTATTGCTGCATTCCATCTAAGGCACACTAACTGAACTGACGGGTACCACTCCAACCAGCAGTGGCATGGCAAGTAGCTCCCGGATCATTGCCAGTTGCACTGTATTCATCACCAGTCTACACTGGGACACGAGACTGGAACTCGAGACTAGGACACGAGACTGGGACTCGGGACTGGGACTCGAGACTGGGACTCGGGACTGGGACTCGGGACTCGGGACTGGGACACGAGACTGGAACTCGAGACTAGGACACGAGACTGGGACTCGGGACTGGGACTCGAGACTGGGACTCGAGACTGGGACTCGGGACTGGGACACGAGACTGGGACACGGGACTGGGACTCGAGACTGGGACTCGAGACTGGGACACGAGACTGGGACACGAGACTGGGACTCGGGACTGGGACACGAGACTGGGACACGAGACTGGGACTCGAGACTGGGACTCGAGACTGGGACACGACTGGGACACGAGACTGGGACTCGAGACTGGGACTCGAGACAGGGACTAGAGACTGATGAGGCGATGGCGATGTTTAATTTCACAAGGACCGTACAGCCAGTGATACATACCCGGTGACACAAAGTGCTACCATTCGGATGAGCTCCCGAAGACAGCAGATGGTAGTGCTTTTAATATAACACAAATTTTGCTTCTCATATTGGGTCTGTCCATCGTCCATTTATGGAAGGGAAAAAAATCACACCCAACCTACTGCGAGCAGTTTGGGCTATAACTGTGGTCTGGTTTCCTTGAGCTAAATATGTTGTCTGCGGATGACAATCCCCGTGTTCAACATTTGGGCCCTATGATATGGGCTCTACCTGAATAGTTGTGATGAAAGTCATTCATTATCTGTAATTTATTTTTTACACTGCACAGTCCGACAGTGGGTCTGTATTAATTTGTTCATACTACCTAAAGTCATAAATTTGGTATAACACCCCACCTCATACCCCCCCCCCCTTTTTTTTATTGCCTTCTCCACACACAAACACACACACATACACACACACACACACACACACACACAGGCACACACACAATCGCCACCACCCCCACCTCGTGGCTGCCCCTAACTAAGGCGTGGGAACGTGTGCCATTTAATTCATTCAACCAAATGTGGCTATCTGCGGTATATTTATTCCACTCCCTCTAGCGTATGAGACACATATACACACATGCAGGACATCAGGAGCCTCTCTTGGCAGGTGTAAAATGTCACAAGCTAGCTTGGATTTGGCACTCAGTGAGGCGTGATTCGATCGCAAAGACTGTGCTTCAATGAACATTGGGGGGGGGGGGGAGGTATTCTATAAAAGGAGGGTTAAAAAGAACCCTCAATGACGACATCAAGAAATGGACAAAACTAATTTACCATACACTTATTCATCAAGCAGTCGGCTCTGTGGCTAAGTCGATGCAAACGCTGCGTAATGCCGGGTTCGGGTTGCCGGGTTCGATCCCGGCTGCGCCTTGCGTTGGTTTCGACAGTGGTATCAAGAAGCCGACCGCCCAGTGAGCAAAGGCAAACTACTGGACGGAATTTGCCTAGAGAAACCACACAACAGCTATGGGCTGCTAAGGTTTGTTCTGCAAGGTCCTGTAAAGGATACGCAACTAACCTAATTTATGAAGCGGAAGACCAATAGATGGCAGATTTTATGTGCTAGTGCAATGTACCTCCACGACCCTATCGAGTCTAGATTTATGTTATGTTTATGTTGCGAATGGGGATATCGTTTTATTCCATTCCATTTCTGTGGAACCGTAATTCCTATAGTTTGTTGTTCTGGTCAGAGAGCTGCTCACATGGTGGAGCGAAGATCAAGTGGAATATGCAGAGAAACAGAGCACCCATACCTCACTGGACTGATTCAGTTAAAAGCGGTCTGAAATTTCTCGACGAAAATTATCACCTAAGGACAAGAATTCATTATTGGCTACTGAAGGAGGGGTCGTTGCAAATGTATAATAATGCAATTGATGGCAGTTTATTCATTCATTTATTCTTTCATTTATTCAATCAATTACGTCAAATCTTCATTATAACCTAAAAAAAAAAAAAATGTAATCATTTCCATCTGCGACTTGTTACTCTAATGGTTATAGTTCCCTTGCTGAATTCAAACTGACATATCTATTTTCTTTCAGCTGTTATAAATGTCACAAATCAGCACTCTCCTTAAAGTTAAGATATAAGAAGAAACGCCACAGGCGAGCATGCAGATCTGGAGTCTCCCAATCATCAGTAGAAGTAATCTCTCGTCGACAAATGTGTCGGCCCACCAGCTCCTAGACATTTTCAGAGAGTAGGCCCACCTGAGTTCATGAGGCTCAGGGTTGATCTGCTCCTGCTGCACGTATTACCGGATGTTCTCGGACAGGGACAACACGAAATTGGTGACTGGGCAACGGGTACTGTGAGATTATAAGTTTATTTACATAGTCGCTGCGGCAGCATAATTAGAGCAGTCAGCATACCTGGACGACCAAGTGGCAAGCTTACGGTTGGTTTATCGGACACATGATAGTCTTTGTTGGCAAATGGCAGAGAGACACCGGCAGACATGATGATTTCTGAAGAAGTGCGTTCCAAGATCAGGTTTCCACCTGCGAGCGAGAAGGTGGTGTGGTGTAAGTTGGAGGCTACATTATGTGAGGTACTTAAACAAACTCTAAACAAGAAGTCGCTAGGCGACAAGCTTACAAAATTTTGTGATGTAATATATGAACACTGCTCCCGCGAGTTCGGGACAGTAGTAAAGGCACAGCCGGGTGCCAAGCAGAATACTAGCAGGAGGCAGAGGGACATTCTGAAGTGTTGGGCAGACAAGAATGCCCTCAGAAAACGGTTCAAAGCCGCTACGGGCAGCGAACGGGAGGGGCTGTTCGAAGTGTGGGTGCATTTAAAGAACAAACACAGTGCCCTCTGTCGCGCCGAGCGTTTCTGTAACAACAGACGTAGAACCAAAAGGGAGCGAGAGAAATTCTTTAGGGACCCGTATCAGTTTGCCCGAGGTCTATTCGAGCAACCGAAGTCTGGGACTCTGGTTGTCAGTCAGGAAGAACTAGAGCTACATCTACGCAAGATGTACTCGGATAAAAAGAGGAGAGAGCCTCTCGATGACAATCCAGAGATCCTTAGCGGACTCAAAAAGCCTTCGATGCCAAAGGTACCATTTAAAATGGTACCTCCCCTTTGGTCTGAGGTTGAGGACGTTGTGAAACAGGCCAGCGGCAAGTCTGCCCCAGGTCCGAACGGTGTTCCGTACGTTCTTTACAAGCGTTGCCCGAAAATCCTTAAAATGCTTCACGTCTTGTTGAGACAAGCGTGGATCCGCAATCACATATGTCCAGAGTGGTCAAAGGCAAATGGGGTCTACATTCCCAAAGAGCAGGACTCGAAGAGTCTTTCCCAATTCAGGCCAATCTCGCTGTTGAATGTCGAGGGTAAGATATTCTTCTCAGTCATGGCTCGCCGGCTCACACAGTATCTGATGACTAACAAGTACATAGATACGAGTGTTCAGAAGGGTGGTATCCCAGGCGTTCCTGGGTGCCTTGAACACGCGACCATGATCTGGGAGGCTATCCAGAGAGCCAAGCATGAGAGAACACAATTGTACGTAATATGGTTGGACTTAGCCAACGCCTACGGGGCAGTCCCCCATAGGCTACTGTGGCGAGCCCTTCGCATGTTTCACGTACCGACACAGATCAGTCAAATGATCGAGCAGTATTTCTCCAAGTTTGCTTTGCACTTCTATACCTCGACGTTTACCACGAGGTGGACTGAGTTGCAGATTGGGAGAGCTATGGGCTGTACGATCTCACCTATACTGTTTGTCATGGCAATGCAGATCATGTTAGACGGGGCGGCCGGCTACGGACAGGGCCTTCAAATAGGGGATCACTGGTTGCCGCCACTGCGCGCATTTATGGATGACACGACTATTATAACGGGCAGCGAGGAGTCTGCCCGCACGATCCTGGAAAGAATGGACGCGGTGGTCCAATGGAGCGGTATGCAGTTTAAACCGCAGAAGTCGAGGAGTCTGTCAATCCATAAGGGCAAGGTTGCGGCAATCAGTTTTACGGTGGCAAGGAACAAGATCCCTACGGTTCTGGAGGAACCGGTGAAGAGCCTCGGTCGCGTTTACGATTCGAAATTAACTGACAGAGCGGAAGTCCGGCGAATACATGAGTCACTGGCTACAGGCCTGCTCGCGATCGAGCGATGCAGGCTGATCGGAAAATTCAAGGTATGGTGTCTCCAATTCATGTTGATTCCGAAGCTCCTATGGCCACTGCTAGTCTACGAGGTGACGATGACTGCAGTGGAAACCATGGAAAAGAAAATCAACACAGCCTTAAGAAAGTGGATTGGTGCACCGCCTTGTCAGACCGACGTGGCTCTGTATTGTAAACAGGCTAAGCTGGTACTTCCGTTCAAGTCGATAACCGAAGAGTTTAAAGTCGGCAAAGTTAGGCTCGCCATGCTTTTGCGCGAGTCGTCAGACCCAAATGTCATCGCTGTCCAGCCCGCTCTAAAGACTGGTACCAAGTGGAGGGTCCTCGATGCGATAGAATCTGCTCAGAACGCACTAAAATTGAAGGAGGTAATGGGTTACACACAAACCGACCGTCGAGGCCTAGGGCACGGGAAAGTCAATTGGTGGTCAAAGGCCTCAGCCAAAGAACGCCGAGACATGGTGATACAAACGGTGAGGGACAACGAAAATGAGGTTCGGGTTCAGAAAGCAGCCCAGCAGTCGCAGCAGGGCCATTGGGTCAGCCTGGAGAGCGCATTGCCTAGAATACTCACATGGGGTGAGATCTGGCGGATGACCCCGCTGCGACTGAGCTTTATCGTTCGTTCGGCGTACGATGTATTACCGTCCGGTGTTAACATGGTTAAATGGTCTGCGA